GAATAGGCAAGGCAATGTGATCAAAAGATCTAATATTCTCTGGAGTCAGATCTTCAATTCTGGTTTTTGTTATTTTGAAAATTTTACACACCCAGATACAAATAGACTGGACACTCACTGTTCTTGTTTAAAAATTTTGGTTTCTCAGGCCATACCAGGCTGGCCATAGGATCATACGTGGTGTCGAGAATCAAAATGAGATCAGCCTCCTGCAAGGCAAGCACCTTACACGCTGTATTATCACTTTGGCCCTCCTATACAAATAAACTGGACAGTTAAATTTGAAAGTACAAGTGTTTTGTTTTAATTAGTTAAGGGAGATTATTCCCATGATTGATTTTTAACTGTTAGAAGGTTAACTTAAAACATTAACAATAGTCAACATAAAAATTTGAAAACAATCTAAAACCAGTATATAAGACATAAAAATAGATTTCACCATTCAGTAATTTGTATGAAAAGTTTTTAAAAACTTAGAATTCTCTAAATAGGTGAGTAATAAAAACCTGAAGTCTCTTTTGAGAATTTTAGAGAAGACAACTGTGACCCCAAGAGCTGACTGACTCAGATGGTCTTATCTGACAGACCTAAAGTTGGCTGGTTACTATCCCCCAAACCCACCTTATTAGGTTTTGGGGGATTCCAGTTTGAGAATGGAGGAATTCCCACTCACAATCCGACCACCATAAGTCCCTACTATGCATAAACTATAATTTCATGAAATGAAAAAAAAAGTTCTTTCTTGGTATCTGGGGATATGGCTCAAATGGTAGAGCAGGGGTCTTAACACTGAAGATGCTGACTTCAATCACTGGTACATCAAACTTCCCCAGAATCGCATCATCCTATCATGAGGTATAGCCCCAGTTACCCCTAGAACAATAACTAGGCCCAAGAACCAAATGAGCCTGAAATACTGGAAAATTAACTGTTCATCCCAAGGAAAAGTGGAGGCTCTATGTGTAGGCACCAAAATAAATAAATAAGTTCTTATAAAAAGAAGTTTCCTGATTCTATAAAAGATATAAGGGGTAACCGAGATAGCTCAATAGGCTAAGCACATACTTTGCACGCAGGAGGCCGGGGCTCAATGTCCTGCACCACTATCTGGTCGGTCTCTTGAACACCACAAGTAGTGACTCCCCGCTCATACCCACAAGAGAAAAGAAAGTTCTGAGCACTTCTGAGTGTGATTGAAAACAAAATGAAACAAAACCTCCAAAAAACTCAAAACAATTAAAAATAGATGGGTGGGGGGAATGAGAAATTTTTCTAACAATTTCCTGCATCTATTTTAACTTCTGAGATTTGTTATTCTAACACTGCTTTCTAAAGTTAAAAGCAGCTCAAATACAATTTTATAAAAATTAAACTGAGAAAAATAAACTATGTACAAAGGAAATATTATAATTTCAGATTTCCAAAAGTTATTAATAACATTTTTATGGGGGGAGGGTCTTAATCTTAATTTTACATTGCACATTAAAATTTTAAACCCCATCAAATTAGTACTGAAAAGCACATAACATCTTTCTGTGATGAATATTTGGCAACATCTAAAAGAAATATTAGCACACATTTAAAAATTTACTATAAAAGGTTCATAGAGATGGTGCAACAAGTTAAGTATTTGCCTTGCATGCAGTCAACCCAGATTCAATTTGTGTCAGCACATATGGCTCCCTGAAGGACAGACAGGAATGATCCCTGAGTGCAGAGCTAGAAGGAAGCTCTGGGACTGCTGGATGTAGCCCCCAAACAAACAAAAATTTACCATCTTACCAGCAATCCAACTGTGTTATTGATATAAACATAGGGCTGGAGCGATAGCACAGCGGGTAAGGCATTCGCCTTACACGCGGCCAACATGGCCGACCCGAGTTCGATTCCTCCGCCCCTCTCGGAGAGCCCGGCAAGCTACCGAGAGTACTCGATATGCCAGACACAGTAACAACAAAGTCTCCAATGGAGACGTTACTGGGCCCGCTCGAGCAAATCGACGATCAACGGGAGGGCCTTTACCTTTTACCTTATTGACTGCAACTAAATCAAATTTACATAGTAAGAGCTTGGCGCGAAAGCTAAAGTCCAAACTTCCAACATGTTAAAGACTATCTGACTTTCTAAATTTTAACTACCCTGTTAGTTCACAATGGTGTGTGTGGTAGAGAAGCACAGAATGGTGTGGTACATGAAAAGAACCAACATTACAAGGGCAAGGAAGATTGAGAAGAAAGTAACTGGTTCAGGACAAGAAGTCCAGGTGATGGAGTTCTGAAATGCGCAGAGTCCAGTACCCTCTCTATTAACCACTCTTTCCTCAATGAAAGCAAACATTTGCAGCACAGATTTAGAATAACATGAATTTGCACTGTAGCACTGTCCTCCCATTGTTCATTGATTTGCTCAAGTGGGCACCAGTAACGTCTCCATTGTGAGACTTGTTACTGTTTTTGGCATATAGAATACGCCACAGAGAGCTTGCCAGGTTCTGCCATGCAGGCTGGATTAAGCATGTAAAGGAAGTTATGTTGTGTACTGTGTCTCTGTGGTCCCAGCATTTTAGCACCTAGATTATTTGGATTTATCTAGTTCTTACTCTCGGTAGCTTGCTAGGCTTTCCAAGAGGGATGGAGGAATCAAACCTGGGTCGGCTGCATGCAAGGCAAATGCCCTACCCACTGCTATAGCTCCAGCTCAGAACAATATGAACTACGTAATTTTATTTTTTTGCTTTCAAAATACACATTTCACATACCTAATAATGACTTAAAAAAACCAACAATGCATTTCTTTTCTTTAAGTTTTTGACTAAACACTGAAAGCTGTTTTTTATTTTCAGAAGGAGTTTTAGTTTGAGGGCTACAACCTGATGTGGCTCCAGGGTAGCACGTGGTGCTGGGAATCAAACCCAGGTATGATGCCTGCCCACCGTACCAACTCTCCAACCCAACAATGAAGTTGATTACAGTGACCTTTTTGTTTTTCTCAAGGCCACATCAAATTTTAAAGAACATAGTTCTATCACTTTGTGTAAGAACTAGGTAAGTCCAAACAATCTAGGTGCTAAAATGCTGGAACCACAGAGACACAGTACACAACATAACTTCCTTTACATGTTTAATGCAGGCCTTTTGGTGTAGAGACAAAGATAACATGGATGTACATGAAGAGATAGGCATACTGTTAATAATGCTATTCTGAACGGACTGCCACTGACCTATTGCATTTGCTCAAAATGAACTTTTGTCACTGGTCGATACTGGCAGCTTTTAAATACATACACATCTCTAGTACTTAAAATAATTTCATTGGGCAATTGTAATCTTCACTCACTTGCAGTTCACCGGAATCCAGAAGCATGAAACACATGAATTACATTGACATATCATGGCAACACAAGCAGATACAGATTTGACGTTAATTTAGAGTTTGGTTGAATATTTTTTAATGGGGTTGAGGAGATGAGAAGAAGGAGACTGTTGATAAGGATTTTTTTTCTACCTTCTCAGTTTGAGAGCCTTGCCACAATTTCAAGAAAAGAGAAAGTGCTTTGGAAATTGTAGGAATTAAAAGTTCATCATTCCCCCAAGTCTTGGAGAGTTCTTTGCTTGAGGAGGGGCCTTAAAGAAATAGAAAAGCTGATGAACCAGGAATAAAGGTCTCTGCACAGAAGAATAAAGGCATTCTGCCTGCAGTAAACTGAAGAAAGTCCAATTCTACTTTATCAATTATAGTTTAAACACATTTATTTAGTTATGCTTAAAGTCACAAATCCTATGACAAGCTGCTTCCGAACTCACACCGGCTAAATAATACCTCTTTACCACCTCAAAATTAATTCTGTTTACTCTCTGAAAATGGGGCAATCAGGAAGCTTCTTAAGATTTACTGAATGCCAAAACACAAAATGTACTGTCAGACTCCAATTTTTTTTTAAAACACCAAAAGTTGCTTCCACTTGTAATGCACTTTAGATATCTGGATCTAGATTTGGAATGAAATACTTTTAATTTCTTTCCTACAACACTTGGATTGTGCAAAATTCAAGCTGCCATAGTTTTAGCCAGACAAGCAGAGTATAAATAACCACAAAGAACCAGGTTCCTGGTGACCAGGAGCTAGCACAGGATTCAAGTTCTGCCTGACTTCTGACTGGGTCAATTGAATTGGTTTGGAGCTTTGGACCCTTCAACTTTCCTCTGTAGAATTACAGTTTTAAGTCCTCTTCAGCTTGCAGCTGGTCACAAACTAACCACATGTTCCAAGCTCCAACTGAAATTGCCAGTAAGTAAACCATAAAATCCTTATCAAGTCCATGTTTGTCCTAATGTTTATCATAGTGGTTGTGAACACAAACCTGTTGCAGTTTCTGGCTGGACCCGAGAAGTACAAGGGATAATGGACCAGCTATTCCCAGTTTGCATTCTTCAAAAAAATAAAAAGGGTGCCCCCTAGGATAGGCTCTTAAGTTTTACCTTTTCGTTGGTAAGTGCATAGGATACCCCCCTGGCATAAGGGCACCAGATGACTAAACGTCAAGGCATGCTAACATGCTCTTTGAACCATTTTCTAATCAAGCTTGACTGATGCTTTGCCTAAACGTTCAAGCTTCATTCGGTTGCCAAGCGCAAGGCTTAGGATGGGATTGTTTAGTAGCTTCGCTGTCACTGTTCTCGGGGAATGAGTGACCGTTTATCCGCTGGTGACTACGGTTGGTTTGTACATTACCTGCCCGTGCCTTTCATAGCTAACTCTCTCTCGTGGCTCAATCGCCAGATCACATCAGTTAAAAGACAAAGGGGTTCAACCTCTCAGCTTGGAACTGGACAAGTCTACCAGGACTTTGAAAAACAGAAAACGAAAGCGTCTTTGACCCTGTACCTGGTGGGAGTGAGAAAAGCACGTCCCTCCCCCGTCCCATAGCAGTCCTAAGAGTTCCAAAGGTTAGTCTTGTGGGGCCCAAAACAACCCACCGGGTTCGAGCCCTGGGTACTCACCTCTTTGATCTTTGCCCTCTTCTCGGAGATGTCGGCGTCCGCCGGCTGCCGGCCCACCGCCCCGATGGGGGGCACGAAGTCCACCGCGGGCAGCCTCTTGAACACATCCTCCTTCCGCTGCTGGTCCTGGGCCACCTTCTCCTTCTCCAGCAGGATGTCCCTTTGGATCTCCTCGGGCGGCTTCTGCAGGGTCTCCTTCGCTTCCCGGAGCGCCTGCTCGTGGTTCTCGCGGATCCTGGCTAAACTGTCGTCCGGGGCGACGGCCAGCTCCCCGGGTCTGTGGTCAGCGGGCGGCTGCAGGGCGGGGCTGGAGTGGAACAGGACCCCGCTGAGCAGCTTGGACGAGTCGGGCAGGAAGAAGATCGCCCCGAAGCAGAGCGTGATGAAGGCGCTGAACACCAGCAGCAGCACGAACTTCTCCGTCAGGCGGAAGGCGGCGGGGCCCGACCCCTTCCTGCCGCCGCCGCCGCCGAGGCCGCCGCCGAGCCCCCCGCCCAGGCCGCCGCCCGCGGGGCTGCTGAAGAGCGGCAACAGGCCCCCCGCCGGCATCGCTCCGGCCGCCGCGATCGCCGCGCAGCCGGCCGTCCAGGGACCCCGCGCCGCGCCGCCCGTTGGGCAAACTTCGCCCGCGCCCCGCGTCAGCAGCTGCGGGGCCGGCTCGGGCGCCTGCAGGCCGCCCCACCCCCGGAGCTGGGCTGCAGGTCTCCCCGGGGCAAGGAGCACCCCTCCGCGTCTTCTCCCCGGGGCGGCTCCGCTGGCGAACAAGCACGCGCGACACACCGCGGGCGGCAACCCCTGTGGGGAGAGAGAGAGAGAGAGAGAGAGAGAGTAGAAAGGTAGTAATTAGGGGGTTGGCGGTGGTCAAGTTTCCTCGCGGCTTTCCCCGCCCTCCGACAGACAGCCCGTGCCAGCCGCCGGGACAGCTCCCCCGGGGCGGGATCGGGGGAGTCCGGCTCCCGGGCACCGCCCTCCCCGCTCACACTTTAGACTTGACGTGAAGTTTTCGTGTCCGGGCTGCTGGGTGTCTGTGTGTGCGTGTGTGTGTGTGTGTTTGGGGGGGGGGGGGTTTGGAGGGTGGGGAGGGGGAGTGCGGGACGGGATGTGCCGGCGCACACCTGGAGCAGGGCCGCCGACCGGCACCTCTGTCTGGGAGAGGGCAGCGCACCTTGGAGCAGGAGGGGCGCGGCGAGCGCGGGGCGCAGAGGTGCGGAGGACGGGAGGTGGAGGTCGGGGGTGGGGGGGTGTTGCCGGTCAACTTCGCCCGCTCTCCATCTCCGAGCGGACACACGGGAATGCCGCTACCCGGCGGGCGGCCGTGGAGCGCGCAGCCCGGGTGCCCTGCGGCTCCGGCGGGGCGCGCGCGCGCCGACCTGCGGGCGAGCCGGAGCCAGCAGAGCCGTCAGACCGCCGGCGCCGCGGCCCCGCGAGCACTAAACGCCGCGGCCGGTCTCCGGGCGGTCGGAAATGGGGGCGGAGACGCGGCCCGAGAGTGATGGCGCGGCCGGGCCAATCACGCGCCGTTCGGGGGCCCCCCTCGCGGGGGCGGGGCGGAGGCGGGGAGGGGGCCGCGCGGGGCGGGGAGTTTACGGGAAACGCGGCCTCGCGGGGGCCAGGCCGGGGGGGAAAAGGGGTGGGCGGGGAGGTCGCGGGGTGTCCGGGGCGCGTGGCGGCGCGAGACCGGACGCGGGCCGTGGTGGGTGGGTGAGACACCCCGTGGCCCGGGCGGCTCGAGGCGGCGGGCGGGGCTCAGGGTCGCCGACCTGGGCCCGGGGTCCTGGGGTCGGGTGGACGTCGAGTAGCTGACAGTCGCTTGCGCTGCCGCGGGACCTCCCAGCCGCGTCTGGGGATCCGCGCCTGACAGTGGAGGGTCCTCCCCGAGGGGCTCCTGGAAGGTGCAGGCTGTCGCTGAGAATCACCCGGCACTGGGTCATTCCGAAGCGCATCTTTTTTTCTCGGCTTACTCTCTCGCTCTCTCTCTCTCGCTCTCTCTCTCTCTCTCTCTCTTTTTTTAACCCGTGGCAGGGATTGTCCCCTCCGGTGCCCGGGTGGCAGTTTAGCCAAAAGTCCCGGTGACGAGCCCCGATCCAGAAAGCCAGCAAGCTGCCTAGTCTATCATCCTTTTACAATCCAACGCGACTAAGATTTTGGGGTGGCTTCGAATTTTTCCTATGCACCCTCTCCCCCTTAAAGAAGAAGGGAAAAAAAAGTACTTCCCCCACCCATTTCCACATTCCAAATTCACTTACCTCATAGAAGCTGGTGGTAGAGGCAGGCTGTGGGGGCGGGAGGCGGGCAGGAGAAACTGGGGCCATTGGTGGTGGGAAATGTGCCCTGGTTGAAGGGGATGGATGATGGAACGTTGTATGACTGAGTGAGACTGGATCATGAAAAAACTTTGTAACTGTAGATCTCACAGCGATTCAATAAAAAAAAAAAAAGAAAAAGAAAAAAGCTGGTCAAATTTTCCATTTAAAGAAGACCGTTTTATGTTGCCATAGCTCCACGCAATAAATTTGAGCACTACCGAAATTAAGTTTGTGTTTGGCTACTTTCAGCGAAGCAAGACTGTGTCCAATAGAGATTGCTTTCAAGACAGCAGTAATTTCCAAAATGTGTTAGTTAAATTCCCTGTTGCTCTGCAAACAAGGGTTATCAGGAAAGGGAAAAGTCAACTGACTTCCCACTCGGAAAACTATTATCCTATAATAAAAGCTCTCTCTGGAAACGTGACTTTAACTCTGTTTCTGCCTGTTGTTTTAAAAGGTTGGGAACAGCTGGCACCTTTAGGAAAGTGCCCACAGTGTGGTTGCTTTCAGGTGTTAGACCGAGAAAATAGAAAGCAGTTAAAAAAAAAAAAAACCACAACAAACAAACAAAAAAACTACCTTGTTACATTTTCATTTAAGTATCAGTTTTAACTATTATGATTTGTTCTGTTTTTTTGCAAAATGAGTAGTACATTCGACGTGTTTGTTAATAGGTAATTTTTGTTTGATAAATTCAACTTTATTGGCTTGGTTGTTTTGATAATTGCTATAAAATTCTATGCCCAGAAGAGTGCAGCATATCCAAACAGGGTAAGAACATTTAGGAGGATTGTAAAAGTAAACAGGGAATTTTTGTTTCTAAGTACAATTGTTAAGTTGTAAATAGGCTGAAAAGTTTGTTTTTAATGACACCGTTAAAATTGAACTTCCTCATAAAAAGATAATTACCACTGCTTATCCTACAAGTAAATCTGTTTGTGATCACCTTTTGAGGGGAATGTTTTATTATTTTACACTTTATGGTTAAAAATGGAATAATTACTCATATCCACAAACACATTTAGAAACTTAAAATTTAATATTAGAGTATTTAAGAAAAACAATGAAATTTACTTTTAAGCGCTTATTAATATGGGGTTGAAAGACAGTTATAAACCTAATTCTATATCTGGCACTCTTTAATTTTGATATCAAACCAAGTTGGGCATTAATCCAACTGTATAGAGTGGAAACATTAAGAATTTAGTCTATGATTTAAATTTTTTTCTAAAATTTTTAATTTGACTTATTTCTATTATATTTATATAATCTAAACTGGATGCTCCATTGACTTCTGTTCACCTTTAGTAAGTTCAAGATTAATCTTATGAAACAGAATTACTATGAATGAAGGCTGAGTTTAATGATTTGTTAAGTGAGATGTTAACAAATGGCTGTCGATTATAGAATATATATTAAACGGTGTCTGTCTGGGTTAAATCAGACATGTGGGAGACCTTTTACGGGGATAAGAACAAATCTTAAAAATTCACAGAGAAATTATTTGAGGAAACATACCAATCACATTAACTATATAAAGCAAAAATAAAAGTGGCTGATTCTGGTTTCAGATTAACAAAACCTTGAATCTGAATCCAACTCTGTCTTATATACTTGAAGATTTGTTGTGATATTTGTGAATATTATAGATCCAATAAAGCTGTTGTTTTCTTATTATGAGTAATCTAATGGAAATTTAGTAACCTCAGTAATCTTGACCAGTTTTTAAAATTTAGCTGCTATATTTTCTTTTTTTAAAATTAAATTTTAAAAAATTTTAATTTTGAATCACCACGAGATACACAGTTGCAAAGCTGTCCATGGTCGGGTTTCAGTCATACAGTGTTCCAACACACATCCCTCCACCAGTTCACATACCCAACCACCAATGTCCTCGGTTTCCCTCGTGCCAGTCCTCTCCCCCCAGTCTGTCTCTATGGCAGGCACTTTTCTTCTCTCTCTCTCTCTCTCTCTCTCTCTCTCTCTCTCTCTCTCTCTCTCTCTCTCTCTCTCTCCCCCTCCCCCCCCTTTGGGATTTTGCAATAGAGATACTGAGAGGTTATCATGTTTGTTCCTTTACCTATTTTCTATGCAGAATGATCATTTTTAACTATATTTGTCATATTGGTACCTTCTCTATCCCACCTGCCTTTCCCTGTAGCATTTAAAGCAGGCTTCCAATCCTCCTGGCCCTTGTTTCTACTGTATTGCTCTCATATTATGTTTTCTGTTTTTATATTCCACAAATGAGTGCAATCAATCTATGTCTGTCTCTCTCCTGACTCATTCCATTCAGCATATTTTCCGTGTCCCTCCACTTATAAGTAATTTCATAACTTTATTTTTCCTAACAGCTGTGTAGTATTCCATTGTATAGATGTGCCATAGTTTCTTTAACCAGCCATTGATTCTTGGGCACTTAGGTTGTTTTCAGATTCTGTCTATTGTGAATAGAGCTATGATACATGGAAGTGCAGATATAATTTCTGTGTGTGGTTTTGGGTCCCTGGGATATATTATCAGCAGTGGTATTACTGGATTGTATGGAAGCTAAATTTCTAGTTTTTTGAGGAATGCCCACATTATTTTCCAAAAATGCTGGGCCATTTGGCATTCCCACCAACAATGAAGGAGAGGCCCTTTCTCCTGCAGCCATGCCAGCACTGGTTGCTCTGTTCTTTTTGATATGTGCCAGTCTCTGTGGTGTGAGATGGTATCTCAGTGTTGTTTCGATTTGCATCTGCCTGATGACTAACAATGCAGAGAATTTTCATTGTCTATTGACCATTTGTATTTCTTCTTTGAGGAAGTTTATGTTCATTTCTTCTTCGCATTTTTGGAATGGGTTCAATTATTTTTTCTTGTTAAGTTCACCAGTGCCTTATATATCTTGATTATTAACCCCTTATTAGATGAGTATTGGATAATAAATTTTCCCAATCTGTGGGTTGTCTTTGTATCTTGGTCACCGTTTTTTTTTTTTTTTTTTTTTGAGGTACAGAAGCTTCTTAGTTTAATGTAGTCCCATTTGTTTATCTTTGCTTCCACTTGCTTGGACCACGGTGTTTCATCCTTGAAGATGCTTTTAGTTTCAGTATAATGGAAAATTCTGCCCACATTTTTCTCTGTGTACCTTATATATTTAGGTCTGACATTGAGGTCTTTAATCCATTTTGATCTGACTTTTGTGCCTCGCATCAGAGTTCATTTTGTTGAATGTAGGAACCCAGTTTTCCCAGCAGCAGTTGTGGAAGAGGGTTTCCTTGCTTCACTTCATATTTCTTGCTCCTTTATCAAAGATTAGGTGATCATATATTTGAGGGTTGGTATCAAGATATTCAACTCTGTTCCATTGATCTGTGGGTCTGTCTTTACTCCAATACCATGCTGTTTTAATTACTAAGTTAGAATTAACGTTGGGAAAGGCGATACCTCCCATCTATTTTCCCCCAAGGATTGCTTTAGTTATTCTTGGGGATGTATTGTTCCATATGAATTTCAGGAGTGTCTGGTCTATTTCTTTGAACAAAATGTCATGGGTATCCTTATAGGGACTATATTGAATCTATACAATGAGTTGGGAAAAATTGCCATTTCGACAATGTTAATCCTCCTGATTCATGGGCAGGGGTTATATTTCCATTTCCTCATGCCTTCTTTTATTTCTTGAAGAAGTGTTTTGTAGTTTCCTTTCTATAGGTACTTCACCTCTTTAGTTAAGCTGATTCTGTGGTACTTGATTTTCTGAGGCACAATTGTGTACAGGATTGCTTTTCTAATATTTCCTCTCTTTTATTATTTAGAAGGTCATGGACTTTGGGATATTGATTTTGCAACCTGCCACTTGACTAAACAAGTCTATTGTTTCTAGGAGCTTTTTTGGATATTCTTTATGTTTTCTAAGAAAAGTATCATGTCATATGAGACTAGTGAAAGCTTGACTTCTTCCTTTCCTACTGGATGCCCTTGATATCTTTTTCTTTCCTAACTGCTATGGCAAGTACTTCCAGTATCTTACTGAATAGTAGTGGCAAGAATGGGAACTCTTGTCTTGAGCCTGATTTTAGAGGGAAAGCCTTTAGTTTTTCCCCAT